TGGCTAGGCTTGTGGCATTGAAGGTGAGGGAACCCCTTTTACAGAATAAGGGCTCGCTCCTCATTACAAAAATGATGGGCTATAGTTGGTGCTTTCTAATGATGGTGAGGGAGTCCCTTTTATAAAATAAGGGCTCGCTCCTCAGTACATGAATAATAGGTTAGGAGTGATGCTCGCGACGAGACGGTTGCTCAGCTAGCGGCGATGCTCTCTAATGAAGGTGAGGGAGTCCCTTTTATAAAATAAGGGCTCGCTCCTCAGTACATGAATAATGGGTTAGGAGTGATGCTCATGGTAAGGCTGTTGCTTAGCTGGCTGCGATACTCTCTAATGAAGGTAAGAGAGTCCCTTTTATAAAATAAGGGCTCGCTTCTCAGTACATGAATAATGGGCTAAGTCCCCCAAGTATTTTTCATGAGGCTCAGTTGAGGCACAATATATGGTACATAATGTAGTCCCCAAAGTCTTCGGTCAATAAAGTCTGTTGGCTGAAGACTTCAAATTGAATCTATGTATGGGCCGAAGAGGCGGTTGTTCGGAACCGGTATTTTGTATACTCTGCACTGAAGCTTTGTAGGTGAAGCTTTGCAAGTGAAGATTTGAAGCTAGAGCTCTGTAAATGAAGCTTTTGAAGCTAGAGCTTTTGTGAATGAAGCTTTTGAAGCTAGAGCTTTGTAAATGAAGCTTTTGAAGCTAGAGCTTTTATAAATGAAGCTTTTGAAGCTAGAGCTCTGTAAATGAAGCTTTTGAAGCTAGAGCTTTCTGTAAATGAAGTTTTTGAAGCTGGAGCTCTGTAAATGAAGCTTTTGAAGCTAATTGACATGAGTGATGCTCATGAATGTTTATGTTGATTAATATGAGTGATGCTCATGGATGTTGACATGAGTGATGCTCATGAATGTTTATGTATGATTGATATGAGTAATGCTCATGAATGTTTATGTATGATTGACATGAGTAATGCTCATGTATGTTTATGTATGATTGACATGAGTAATGCACATGTATAATTTGAAGTACTAGGCGTACTTTTGATCACCTGGTTGGTGATAATAGCAGTGGGGTGTCGAATAATTTTTTGTAGTACTGGGCGTACTTTTGGTCACCTGGTTGGTGCTATTTTGGGCTTATGGGCCTTCGCCCTCCACACAACATTCCAGCCCATTTATTTTGGGCTTGACTTTTTTTTTTATTTATTTTTATTACCCTCTGATAGGGTTTATACAGATGTCTCCGAAAGATAAGAAAAATAAATCACATCATACATCTGCCAAGAAAAGTAAATCACATCATTCTGGTGGGGTGCTTATTCCTTGCTTTTGCTTTCTCTTTTGCTTTCTCTTTTCCCTTTTGGGAGATGGCAGACAACGCTTCCGTATTGGTTGAGGAAGTGCGCAGGCAATTATCAGCTATCACAGCTGGGTTTCTTGGGTCATCCTCGGGAATATTTCTTTCAACCTTGCCGATAAGATCTGCACCAACATAAGCAGCTTTGGTATATATGCCTCATCATTTTTTTCTTTTTCTGCTGTTTGAACATAAGCTGGTGTACTCCAAATGTAAAAAACCCATCAGAGTGCTTTTCTTTCTTTCCATTTTACCCTTCCCCTCTTATTCAATTCACATCCAAATGCCATTGCTGTTGAGCAGCAGAACAGAGCATGTCCAAGCCTCTTCGCCTCCTCTCACCATCCCTAAGGAGATTTTAATACACACTTCCAACAAATCTAACTCATAAATTGCAAATCACAAGTGTACCTGGAGCTGGAAAGATTTAGCCAGAACATCTTCTGAAATTACGGGATTGAATCCAAACACAGCATTAGCAATGGTGTTGACTCCTGGGTTTTGGCTACTCAGAGAAGAGAGTGAAATGGCAATTCCATTCCCCGCATTTTGTTGATAGTGAACTAGTCCAACAGGGAACACAAACACATCACCCTTGTTAAGCACATTTGAAATGAGCTTGTTGTCGGGGTTTGATGTCACAAAGGCTGCCTTCTAAGACGGTTAAAATCTCAGTGACATGGGGATGAGTATGGGGTGGGATAACATCCCATGGTGCGTAGTCGATGCGAGCGAGTGAGATGCCGAGAGTGTTGAGACCTGGGATTTGACCCACATTGACAGGGGTAACTTTTCCACCAACAGGGTTTGAGGTGTTGTCGGGGATGTGAAATCTACTGAAGAAGAAATGTTCAGCTGTCGCTAGCTTGGAGTCCAACCATGGAAAACCATTTACTCTCATTACTCTTAGCACAAAAAACTTCAAGATCTGCCGGTGAAGGGGTGCGGAGCCTTGGGAGGAGCATGCTGCGTCTTCTTGTCCGGAGACCAAGGTAAGGCAGAAGCTGCTGCAGAAGTTCTATTGTAAACAGATACGGCTTGGTGAAAGTAAGGCATTGCGGCATTCTTTTCAACCATGACCACATACCTAGTTTTGACCGGAGGAGAAACTGGAAAGGCATCGGGAGAGATTCAATCTACTGGGCTTCAACACCGTAGATCCGACAACCCAAATATATGGAAAGGCATTGCTTACAGACCTTCTGGCGTATCAGCGGTAACAGCAGCCGCCAAAACAGCTGCAGCAGTAGCAGTCGCCGTCACAAAAACAGGGGCCCAACGACGAGGTCAGGACCATCTAGGTTGGCGACCTTCATCATTGGATAGACGAGACTTACCTTCACGGATGCTTTGCGCACACTGGACAATGGTTTCTTTTATGATTGTAAGAGGGGAATTTTGAGGAATGTGAGGAGGAGGGTGAGAGTCCCGGAGAATTTTTTTTTTTAGAGAGAAAGAGAGTTCTTTTCTCTGAGGACACAGAAACGAATAGAGAGAGAAAGAGAGAGGAGATGACATGATGGCTTGCTGTTTGTGGGGGTTTTCTGGAAAAGATTTGGGTTTTTGGGTTCTTGGTTTCTGCAGATTCATGGCGTAGGTGAAAAATGAAAGAGAACTGACACAACTTTTCGTATCGATTCCCACAGACGGCGTCAAATGTTGATGCACAAAACTGGAGGTCTTGGAACAACGTAAATTCGACCGTGAATCTGCAAGAAATGTAAATAACACAAGATGTATCGTGGTTCACCCCAATGTTTGGGCTACGTCCATATTGATATTGTATTTCTCTGTTTGTGAGAGGATTGAGAGGGAGATAGTGTGAGGATCCTCATGGCCTAGGAAATGGCCTCTAAGGGTGAGAGTGAGGCTCTCCTTAAGGGATGAGAGGCTTAAGGTTTGTGAGGGTGAAGAGGCCCTTTTATAGAATAAGGGCTCCTCCCATTTTTACATGCTTACCCCTCCATTTATTACATAATTACATTTAAGTCATCCGAGTATTTATACGAGGTCTAAATACGGAGACCCTAAGTATGGTATAAACTTCTAACACAACCTTATTAATTATCTGTCAATGATCATCTCCAACTCATTCGATTCGAACAACCGAAAATTAAGAATGGTATATGAGAAGTAAAAATGAGTGCATAGATAGTACTACTCTTATAGAAAACCTCCCTGAGCCCACCTTATCCTTGTGGGTGGCTACGCCATTGTATACAATATATTTACGTTAAGGAGTGGAGAAATAAATTAAATATCGAACTCGTTATTTTTGAGATTCAAACCTATAACCTCTCAGTTATAAGTGAAGAGAAATATTATCAGACCGTAAAAATATAATAAGAAGCTTGAAATTAAACAAAATATGAAAAAGGACAACTCATGGAGATTTCTGTTTTTTTACATCAAACTAGTACATGGCCACACAACTTGTGTGTGAAATGTTTTGTTTTTGTTTTTAAAATTGAAGAAGAGAGGAAGAGAGTGAGAGAGAATGTGAGGGTGGGGAGAGATAGAGAAGTTTATTTTTCAATTTTTAATTTAAAAAAAATAGAGATGTTAAAATCACTTATAATTGTTGCTTAAACAAAAAACTAGTAAACTTTTGTTTTGTGAAATTACATTACTGCCCTTAATTTTTGTTGTTGTGATAGAATACTAAATAATCTTTTTACCCTCTCTTGATTGATAAAGAGGGTTATATTAATATCTATACTAATTAATAAAACCCTCTTTGTCAACCAAAAGAGGGTGAAAAGATAAATTAGTCTTCTATCACAAAAAAAATAATGGGCAATAATGTAATTTCATAGGTCCCAAATTTTACTGTTTTTTATTGAAGCCTCACCTATAGGTGATGTTAAAATACCTCCAATATTAAAAAAAAAACCCAAAAACAAAAACCTCCCACTCCCCCCGTTCTCTCTTTCTCCCTCTCTCCTTCTCATTTTCTAAAAAAATGTGTTCATACACACAAAGTGCGTAGGTAAATGCTAGTATAATTTAGATTAATCCGAACTATCCAGAAAGGAACTCAAAATTGGATACAAATGAGAGAGCACAATACCACATAACAAAGGACACTTTATACTTAAGCCTAAATCAGTTTAACAAAACATTTTCTTTATTGAAATAAAACAATGTGTTTACATTAAGGGGTAAATAATTTAGATCGTAGTATTAAATGATTGACTAAAACAAAGTTATAAGCATTTCAGGGTTATCAAAACACTTGTTAGATAAACACATATCAATGCTTCTTCATGAGGCACTTGAATTTTTAATAGGACTTCAACTTGATTATAATGAAAGTACTTTTACAAGTTTTACTATAAGCGCTTGTGAATAATTACGAGTGTGTTTGGAAATGTTTTTGAAATAACAGAAAACGCTTTTGATAGAAATATTTTTGAAACCAATACTTAGTAAAAATGCAAGTAAAACCTAAAAACGGTTTCACGAAAAGTAATTTTAATCATTTTAAAAACACTTCTAAACAATCATTTTTTTTTTCTCTAGACAACTATTCTCAAATGAGAAATAAAAACAAAAGAAATTACCACTAATTTTGCTTTGTGTTTTTATTATTTTACCAAAAAAAGTTACCTCTAATTTTGTTTTGTGTTTTTATTATTTTTAGAATCAATATTGAAATACAGCGTCTTGGTCACTTCGTCTGCATCTCCACCCACATCCCTGGGTTGTCTCCTATTCTCCCAGAAATCAGCAACCATACTCACAACGATGATGGATGTAGGGTTTGGTGGCCAAAGCAACTATCATTGAGGAAACCATCGTCATCATCCTCTAATTTCTTGCTTGGTTGGTTCGTTTCTTCCTCTCCGTCTTCTCTCGACGTCGTCGTCGCTTTCGCGTGCACTGAGCTTGCGCTTTCTGGTATCCAATCAACCCTCCAGGTACATAAACGTCTTCAAATAATCAATGCTAATCAGATTTCGATAATTTATATCTGCAATTTATGTGGCTCGGTTTCAATCTGCTTCTTTGTTGATTAAATTTTGGGATGCAATGAATTTTTGCTTATTTTGTAGGGTTTGGGAAATTGGTACATTGAAATCATATATTGTTTTCAGGGAATTCTTCGCAACACGAATGGAAGGATGCCTGTGTTGCTTCAGGATAAGTCTATGATGTGTGTATTGGGTCAAATTTTTGAGGACCAAATAGAAGAAGATCAATCTCATTCTTCTTGTGGGTGCCACAAGCTCAGTGGATCAGTAGGACCATGTAGGGAAAATTTCGAGGGAAATGGTTATTGGATTCGGATGTTATGTGATCCTCAAGAACATATTGGAAAGGACATTACTTGGATTCCTAAACTGCATCACGTTCACTGGAATGGGAAGGTCGTGTCTCGATGTGATGTCCACGTATGTAAGTCGTGAATGCTTCAATGGCATGTGTCGGACTTTGTTTAACTGTTATCTTTTATAGTTGATCATCATGTGTATTTTTTGGTGATTAATATCCTGTTTTTCATTTGATCAAATTTAGCTAATATTATATGAGACTCCTACCTATGGTGCCCACCATTTCTCATTACATCCTTGGAATTCATTTGAGCAAGTGAGTGCGCCTATGAGAAAACCCAAATGGGTTGATGAACTTCACCAAAAGCAACCACTCCTTGATTTGGTAAGAGTTTTGTAAGAATTCTTTTGTAGATTGGGACTTTTCTTTGTTAATACACTGATACGCTATTTATATTGTTTAAATGCAGGATACAGTCATTCTGGCAATTAATAGCTCCGCTACCGCTGAAATTGTTTTTGAAAAATGCATAGGTCCCAAGACGTCTTTTGTGTGCTTTTCTACTGTTTACATGTATCTATTCACACATTCAGCCTCTCAACTACTTTTCCTTTTTATGCCCGGCATTATCTGCAGTATTTAAATGGCTATTCTGTGGCTTTTCAGGTTTCTGGGCTTCGCATGGCAACTATTCGCCATGTCTGTGGCTTCATTATCCACTTTATTCTATGTCGTTCTTCAGTTTCTCTATAGCCTTCTGAATTATGCATCGGACTCATGTATAAACCTTATATTAGTAAAGGTATTCAGCAGCTCAAGGATAAATATCAGAATCCGTGGTTCTCAGATCTTGTATTGGCCAATCTTTCTTCAATATAATGGAATGAGGTAAGATGAAAATTTTAACTACAAATATGGAATATGTTTTGAATCCTGTGGAGTTGACTGACTGATAAGTTGGGCATTAAATTCCCTTTCATTTGCATTCTAATTTTGGATAAAATTTATAAATCCAAACATTTATTAGATTTCGCTTCAGTTTGGTTTATAAGAAAATTTTCCTATTTATAAATTTTCTACCCTGCAAGTGTTCAAGGTTTTTTATCTGTACTTTGTAGGCTGAGATTTAGGTTTGTTTAAGACCATGATTGACCCGTTTACCTGATCTCTTCCATCAACTACTTTACTGCGTTGACAATAACCCTTTCATCTTCTCCTGATCTCTTCCATCAACTACTTTACTGCGTTGACAATAACCCTTTCATCTTCTCTTGTGTTACATTTAACCTTTTATATCCAATAGACATTTACTGATGAGTCTTTTTTGTATTGTTCCATCACCATTCTTGTGTTCCGTCACCATTTCTTTCTTTCTGGTAGTTCCATCGCCATGTCTTAAGAAAAGACATGGAGCTAAAGGATGACTTGGCGCAAAACTGAGCGTGGTAGTGTTCTAGGATTCATGTAGCTAACTTCACTTAGTAGGATAAGACTTTGTTGTTGTTGTGGTAGTAGGCTCCTCTTATTTCTTTCCTGAATAAACTGCAATTATTTCATCACCTTATTCTGGATTTGAAAGGTCGCTATCAAGTGTGGAATACGCAGAGAAAGCTGCATTGCATAAGCATTCCATGTGGTCAAGTTTAGCTGTTGATGTGCTTCTGGGAAACTTGTTTGGTTTGGTACTGTTGTATCATGCAGAATCTGCTTGCATATGGATATTAAAATTTTCCAGTGACATTACAAATGAGTTATTGCGCTCAGGCTGTGTGTGGTTGATGGGGGTACCTGCAGGTTTTAAGTTAAACAATGAATTGGCAGAAGTTCTTGGGATGATTTCTTTAACTGCTATCCAGATTTGGTCTACCATTTGGATCTTTTTGGTGTCCCACTTTCTTTATTTCATTAGAGGACTTGCCATATCAGGAATCATTTTTGGGGTGACTATACCTGCTGCTTTGATAATCGACTTGATTGCTCTAGCAACGTTGCATGTGTCTACTCTTCATTGGTTGATATCGCTTTTATATTCAACTCAGATACAGGCATTAGCAGCTCTCTGGCGCCTTTTCAGGTATTATTTTGTGATGTCTTGTTCTTCCTTTTTCAGTTTTTAAAACTTCACACGACACCAGCTGCAGTAACTAAATACAGGATGTTTTTACTTTTTTTGCTTATTGTATACATGCGATAGGGTCATTTTTCTAACCAACCTATTTTCTATCCCTTAAGACATGTCATATGCTTATTCAGAACCTGCTGGTTGGACTTGTAGCTCTTTAATACATAGTTCTTCAGTCAAATTACACTTGTAGTTCCTGCAGTTTGCCCATTTTCCAATTCCCTGTACTTTAAATATGTTTTAATTGAACCCTGGTATTTTGATTACATTTGCAATCCAGGACTAAATGTAGATCAGTCTGGCAACGTGAAAATTATATGATAGGTATGTTTTGAGACATCTACCACATCACCACTCCGTTAATTTATTAGATGCAGTTGTTTTGTCCTCAATTTGCAAATGTAGCAAAGGGATAGGCATGAAATTGAAAATATTTAGAAGCACAGGGATTTATGTGGAAAGCAGGCTAAACTACAGGGAAAGTGTGACTTGACCTGGTTCAGCTATTAGCCAACCTTCCAATAAAGAGGCACTTCTGTTCCTGATTACTGTCATTATGGAACTTTACTCGTTGGTTTAACCTTGGCCTTTTTATTTGTCTAGCTAGTTGCTACTGTGCTTTTATATGGGGATTTGATTGTATGGTAGTATTAGATTTACCATATATGCAGCTGCCATCTGCAATAAGAATGCCCATAATGCTAAAAAATGAAATTGGAAACCCCGTAACAAGTGTGCTTTGAAGCATAATATATGTTTTTATGTATGCAGTCAAATTTTACCACAGTGCATCAGTCCGACAGCATGTTACTTTCAAGTGCATTGCATTTAGGCGCTTTACTCCGTTTGCACTTTATTACGACATATTGACCTAACAACTAGCGTGCACTCAAAACTGCAGTCACTTTATTAATATCACCTCTTGGTTCCTGTAGCAGAGTCATGTTCGTGTAAGCTAAAATGTTAAATCTTTGGATCCACTAACTTCTTGTATGTTTCCCTTTATAATGTTGAGAATATCACGTTTAAGAATGGGACAAATAGAACAAACTCTTGAAATCGAAAACAAATAACCAAGATAAATAGCACCAAGAATTTACGTGGTTCGGCAATATGTGCCTACGTCCACAGGACAGCAACAACAATCTTTCACTATATCAATAATGAGTACAACCAATAATCTTGCCGAATCTCTAGAACTAGGAATTGACGAAAAACCTGAAAGAACAAGAACAAGAAATACACTCTCTCTTTTCTTTTCTCTCGCACACTTATTGTTTTGCTCCTTCAATCAAAACTAGTACAATAGCCCCTTTATATATACATAATAAAGGTCTTCTTCAATAAGGATTACTAATCCTAATTGGAAACTAGTTATAAAACCTACTCCAATTGGGAAAACAATTTAATCCTCTAAGACTATTAATTCCCAATAGACTTAGGGCAACTTATCATGGGCTGGAAAAAACCCAACATATAATATAAGTATGCATAACATCCTGTTTCTAGAAGAGATTGCTGTGCTTTTTATATCTATTTATCTGTTGATATACTCATATATGTATGTAATAATGTCTGTATGTATAAATAATATACAGTGTACGCCCATACAAGACATGCTTGTCTATATTGTATTGTAGTTAATTTTGTTATAATTAATTGACTTAAATTGCTATTTTCTGAGAAAAGCTCCCTTTTATTGCGCACCTGGCCACAATTCAATTATAAATTTAGAATTTCAATTGTATACTGCTGGTGAAGGTATAAGTAAAATATGTCCTTGATCAGTAATTGTTTTGCTGTTTTACTACATCTAGGTGCTCATGTACTTACTGGATGTTTTTCAGGGGCCGAAAGTGGAATCCTCTTCGTCAGAGATTAGATAGCTATGACTACACTGTCAAGCAACACATCGTTGGATCTCTTCTGTTCACACCACTCCTACTTCTATTACCGACAACTTCTGTTTTCTACATCTTTTTTACCATTATGAATACAACTATCAGCCTTATGTGTATACTGATTGAAGTCACTATATCTTTCATTCATGCCACACCATATATCAAAATTTTCCTTTGGTTGGTGAGGCCGAGAAGATTTCCATCTGGGATATGGTTTGAAATTGTATCTGTTTGGAGTGGTGGAATTGATTCTCCTAGGGATATTAATTCACCGTCAGAGAAACTGCAGCCCGGAAAGGGCCTCACCGGAGAAAAATCATCTGTGGTGGTTTCATTTCTTCATAGTAACTTCTTGACTGTAGGTGAGAGCTTGATCTCTGTCTAGTGCATTAGTGATATTTCTGTAGTCTACTGTATCTCAAGTCTGAAAGTTTCACATGTTAATTACTCGGTCTTGGCTTTTCTCGTAACTATATTGATGGAATATATATACCAGGACAAATAGTCATGCCTCACTACAACAAGGTTCTTTCTGGGAAACCTCGGACATTGGTTGCCACTGCAGCTTATGGAGTCCTCACTGGCAGACGGTGAGTTGAAAATTGAATTCAAATTTGATCGTTTTCATGGCTGTTTTAATTTTTAATTTTTAATAAATTGATTCCAGGATTCCATCTTCAATTGGAACTGATCTTCCAACATTTCCGTGGATGCTAATCTCCTACAAAGAGTATTGGCGTCTCTGCCGCGATTCAGTTCTTGTATGCTACAGAGCGTGACATGTAACCAGTCTTGCTGCTGCCAGTTAACACCTAACTGCATTTATTTAACCTAACCTGAAATTTTGTTCTCCCATGTAAACCAATTTTTCTGTTCATCGATTTGTTTAGGACCGTACAGGCAACATATCCGATTCAATTTTGAAGGATTGTAGGATGAAGGGTTTTTTTTGGTAAATGAAAACCAAGTTATTTTTTAAATTTGTTATAGTTAATTCATCTGTTTCATCTAAAATGTCTGCTCTGTTGCGTAATTGACGTGATTCAAGTCTCAGGCGATCGGAAGTCTGCTGTTGGTTGATTCTGACCTAAGATAATTGATAACAGGTGTGGACGGTTCAACTGGGATGAATTGAGCTATAACACTGCTTGTCTCCTTTCAGTGGGGTCATCACCTGCAGTTGCAAGTCACGGGCCGACGCCCATACCTGGATAATTGATAACAGGTGTTAACGGTTCGGTCGAGAATAAAAATGTGCCGGGGAGAATTTCCATTGCACTAACATCGAGTGACAGAGCTATTGTTGGGCTTAGTTAGGTCACAATTCAGCCGGCAGAGAGCTAACTGAAAAGCAGACAGAAACGTTACGAAATGCTTTTACACTTGGAAGCTTCATGTTCTGCCTAAGTTGCAGATCTCAAGTGAAGACCAGTACTTTCGTAAAGAAGCAAAACCCACACGTTTCAAGGCTATGATTGCTGCATAAAACTGAGTTGATGCCGACCTACATTTATTCTTGTTTTGTTTCCTTGTGCGAAAAGCTTACTATGCTCTAGATCAAAAGATGGCTGGACATGTGGTTAAATCTCCCAATTTTAAGTGTATTTTATTTTTTGAAATTGTGACATGACAAAAATGCCTCTTAAGGTAATTATTGACTTGTTGTTGACTTTCGTGCTTGTGATACATACGAGTGTTCTAAAAATCAGCCTAGGCGGCCGCCTAGGTGTTAGACAGCGATCAGCCACGTCAGCCATCATATTAACATTTGGGATCTCCATTAGATATGCTCTTTTATGTTTTAAAGTCAAAATTTAATGGACTTGTCCACCCAATTTGAAAAGTCCAAAATGAACTCAATGAATCTATATGGACCTTTGGGCATTTCTGAGGTGCAGACCTTAGAAATAGACCTTGCGTGCAGACGGGAATAAGACAGTCTTGATTTGTTGAGCTCACGGTAGAACTCGATTGGTGTGATATAAAGGAATTAAATTATTTTTAATTATTTTCTTCACTAGGTATCTTTTATTTGGAGAGAAAAGGGGGGGGGGGGGGGGGGGACTGAGAGTTCGCACGTTTAAGAGGGAAAGAGACACAGAGTGTGAGCTGGGGTGAGGATTGTATTTGAGGTGGATTGAAGTTGCGTTGCGATTGTGACCCAATCATGTTATACCGTTAATTTTTTTTTTCTTCATTAGGCATCTTGTTGCCAGAGAGAAAGGGGTAGGTGGGTAGTTGAGGTAATATTGGTGCGCTGAAGAGGGAAAAAGAGGCTGAGAGGGAGCTGAGCTGAAGAACCGATTTTAGCTGGATTGAAATTGCGTTGTGGCGGTGACCTAGTAATCTTATACCTTTAATTCTTTTGGTTTACTAGATTTTTTTTCTTTTTAATTTTTAATTTTTTTTTTGTCATTGAGAGAGGGAGAGATTAGGGTTGTCTTCGTCGAGAAAGAGAGGCGGAGAGAGGGAGGTGGTGAAGAGTGTCAAGGTTCGATTTCATGTGAAGTTGTGCTTGTGTTGAAGTTGACAATGGTGGTTCATCCAGAAGCTGTGAAGAAACCAAGATTGTGAAGGTGACTTTTTGAAGAATTTTAGAACCTCTGGTATAATCAATTTCCATTCCATTTCGGTTTGTACAATTCTGGGATTTTACTTAGTCAAAATCGTGAAATTGGATATTAGATACATATGTGCAAAACTTGTGCTGGGTTGTGATAAGTGGTGTAGATTGGTAGTAGGTAGACATAGAAGTGTAATTCGATGGGGATGAGTTAGAAACAGACGAAATTGTGATGGAAAGAGAGGATGTAGATATGGGGGATCAATGTGGTGCAAGGAGGGTTGAATTAGTTTTTTCTAACGGTAGATGATGAGTTGAAATTGAAATTAAAAATGGAGTTTGAGCCATTGGATGAAGGGTATGCTTTTTACAACAATTATGCACTTGTAGCGGGGTTTGAGATTCATGAGTATAGTAGTAAAAAGTCTAGGTACAGTGAAAGTTGGTTATGAAATTGTTTGTTACAAACAAGGCAAGAAGAGGGTGGATGCTAATCCCATACCTAATATGAAAGGTAGGAGGGGAGATGCTAGAACTGAGTGCAAAGGCGAAACTTGCGATGAATAAGGGAATTGGTTGTGAAACATTTGGTGTAATAGTTTTCAATGATTGACAAAAGCACCCTATGTCAAGTGCATCACACTTATTTAGATCACTTCGTTGAGTTTTAGAGGCAATGAGGGTGATGATTGAACAATGTGCATAGGACAATATGAAGGAATTATTTTGTGAAAACATGTTCATTTAAGCAACATCATATAGCATGCAATTAACAATTAAAGGCGGAATCATGCTATCATGCACTTAAAAACAAAACATTACCCATGAAATTCAAAGCCTAGTAAATTGGTGAACCAATAATCAACTAAAAACAAAGTGAGTTGAAATTAATACCTTTGTAGATTCCTCTTTGCATAAGCAAAGGCTAATCACCCAAAGAGATAGGGCCTTCATTCCTTGCTTCTTAGATCCATGGATTTGGATGGAAGAATAGGTTCTCCAAGTTCCCAAAATTGAGAACCTCTAAGTCTCTTCACCAAGGTTAGATTGTAGAAGAAATGAGTGACCTTGGAGTAGTAGGATTGCTAGATGTACCCTCCAAGGTGTTGGCCTCTTTAGAGAGAAAATGGAGAGACAATTCTCACCAATTTCCCCAAAATAAACCCTTTTATCACTTAATGAATATTAGTTATAAAGTCATTTATATAGTCACTTCTTTAAGTGACCTAAACAACCAAAACCCTAATTCATTTCATCATGGCCGGCCATTTAGGGGATTTTGGGCTTTTGGGCTTTAATGAATCTTCATTCATTAAATTGTCATACAACTTAAGTTAATGGGCTTGACGTTCGAAGCCCATTGGGCCTTAAGGTCCAAAACTATCCCGAAGTCTTTAACGAACTTATTCGTTTGATTAATTAACATATTAATTAATCCTTGCCATAAATAAATGATTAAACCATTTAATCATTCTTACTCATTTCCGTTTAATCTCCAATCTCTACCTTTTATGGTGTGCGATCCATTAGGTTCCTTTTAGCGAGGTAGTGGGCGATTAAAACCATTTTACATCGATTGTGAATTGAAACTATTTTCAATTCTCCCTTTAGTGATTACACACGTTTAGGGCTTCCACAAACCATGAGTGACACCTAGCAGCATGTCATGGTTACCCAAGCTAATCAGAAGAGGTGGAGACCCTATTCAGTTCGAGATTACAAATGCAATACGGTCATTCTCTAATCTAATACTCTTGACCACATTGTTTGGTTTGATAGTTTATTTTCTCATGTTTACTATCCAATGTGTGTCTTGTGCTTATATGATTACCTTGAATGTGATTCGGAACGCATTCCCTAATCTCATTCATACTCTGGCCAGAGATTCAAATCATATCAGAGAGTATTCTCCCTTAAACGGTTTGAAGGTTAGAGATCCCTTGTTGCGCATTCACTTGTCTCCATAGCTAAGCGGCTTGACCCCAACGATGCCGTGGACACCCTCCTGATGGAGTGACTTTGACATAATCAAAGATCAAGGTCTTAACCACAAGACAACTATGATGCCTCAGGTCAAAGGACTAATTTGCATTATCCCAACCATGAGTTCTCATGTGACATGGAATATGAGAACTCTTCGTTGATCGCGTTCAGTGAACTCATTCTCTATTGAGCACCTACCGTACTTGTCTTGATGTCACACACACCAATGATTCGAGACTAATCACTCTCCTTGAGAGAAGACATAGTACGTACTGATCTTAACGGACTGTCAACGCCCAATTGGCAATCCTATGATCAGGAACGTTTAGGATGTGTCTACGAAAGAATGGTCTCATGAATCTAACTTCATTAGATTACATTCTCCCAATCACATATTCCTTGGACTTTATCGTTTAAGCATATAACATTTATATGAGACGGCTCAAACAATAATGTATGCCCTTTATATGTAAAACTAGATTAGTTTAACATGTGAAATGTCCGTAAAGTATCATCACATGATTGGCTTTAGGGCACATTTCCAACACAATATTCCAATAAGTAAACAAGTGGGTTTATTGGAGGTGCAAAATGGAGGAATTAGAAATATTGGTTGCACCCCCAAGAATATGTATAACGTTGAACAACAACTGCGAACTCATCTAATCAGGCATAATGCGAAAATGTTGAAAGAGCATTTTGAGGATGAGAAAGAGAAAAATGATTCATTTTATTTCAAGATAGAGATTGATGAAGGTGGGACACTTAAGAATTCATTTTGGGCGGATGCTAAGTCATGACGTGTTTATTGCCATTTTGGTGATGTGATTGTGTTTGACACCACTTGCAATACCAATGTGCACGGGATGATGCTTGCTCCTTTGTTAGGAGTTAATAACCACGGTTAAACCATGGTATTGGGTTGTGCATTTTGAAAAATGAAAAAACCACGATCTTTAAGTAGTTGTTTGAAGAAATGCTTAAATCTTAACTGAGTGAGTCGCCAAATGTCATAACTATAGATCAAGATGAAGTTATAGCAAGGGCTAATGTCAGCAAACTACCAACCACCTTTCATCGGTACTGCATATGACATATTATTAATAAGTTCAATGACAAGGGTTGGGTTGAGGACGTTTTCAAGGATTGCATGCTTGCATATGAGATATTGAAAGCAAAGAAGAATTTGAGGCAAGGTGGAAGGTGTTGGTAGAAGAACATGAACTGGTTCATAAAACGTGGCTTAAGAACATTTATAAGTTGCGTGCAAGGTTTCAACATTTTGTAAGCATGCTTTTTAGTCGAAATGTCAAATAGTCAACGTGCCGAGAGTTGTCATTCTTTTTCAAGCAATATGTGCATATGAAGCACTCTTTGATTGAATTCATCATTCCATTAAATCGAGCTCTTAGACGGCAACGTCAGAAAGAGGTGGTTGGTGACCTTAATGATGAAAACCGTGCCCTTCCATTGCAGCTTTGCACCTCAGTGGAAACTAAATTGGCCAAATTGTACACACGATTTATGTTCGAAAAATTTTAAGTGAGGAATTGAAGAGTTCGACTTATTTCTTGAGGGAGCAGTGGTGGGATGGCAATAAGGCATTGTACAAAGTACTTGAGAGTGCTGCAGGGTGACAAAGATGAAGAGGTTGGTGGTTGATACGATCTCGGGATATGCTAAATGCAGCTGCAAATAGATGAAGTTTTGGGGACTTCCTTGTTGACACATATTTGTCGATTTGAGAATGGAACAAATAGAGTTGTTACCGGAACGTTACATACTGAAAAGGTGGCTTCAAGTCGCCAAATCCGGCATTGTTTTTTACACTGGAGGGAAAGAAGTGGGCAAACACGCCGACAATTCTATCTTGTTCAAAAGAGCTCAGTTTTCAATAAAAGTTTCAGATTTAATTAGCAAGGCGTTGATGCTGGAGGAAGGTACCCAACTTCTATCCCGGGCTTTGAAATCATAGGATATGAAGCTCAACTCTTTAGGTGTGTTAATAGCGGTGGGCAAACGGGCCTTGTACCTGCGGGTTGGGGGGAGGGTCCATACTGTTCCGGGCGGGTACAAATATTGTAAACTCAAAATGGGGTGGGGTGGATCCCAATATATGAGAAAATGGGCCCCGGGCCCAGACCGATTCAATTGTCCATTATATGAGATTAAATCTTCACCATGTATTTCTTAAACATTAGATCACTCTCTCTCCACCGTTTTCATTCTCTCTGAGTCTCTCCACCTTTCTTGATTCCTCAAAGACTCAAATTGAAGTATTGAACTTGTCTCTTGACTCGAATTCGTAACGGCAGTGGCTGCACAGTACTCCTTTCATCCATCCCTCGTCTCTTGGTCTCTCCTCTGTCGACTCTATCCTCAAATTTACCCAACTTGAGACACAACCTTAAGGTCTTTCTCTCTCCCCACTCCGACCACCACCATCATATCTTCTTAAATCCGACCAACACTCTGCTATTCTGTTCGGAGTCTTCAATTTTAATGTATTGATTGTTAGAGATTTAGGATTTAGGATTTTTTAGATATAGGAATTTTGGGGGTGTGGACCTAATAATTTCTAGTTGTCTGATGATGGAATTGACTGATTAGTTTTCTAATTTTGAAGCTTTGCATTTTGTTTTTAAATGAGATTGGAATTATGAGAATTTTCAGATTTAGGGCATTGGGGATTGGTGGGCAAATATTGGGGTGGCTTAATACTGACATGTTTATTGGTATGTGTGTTCATTGTTGCGGTGTTGAGGAAGAACACTTTTTGTGATAAAAAAATTTGGAAATTTTATATGTTTTTAACTGATTGATGAAATTGTGTATCCACAGTATTGCGTTTTTGTGATTTTGATAATTGGAGAATGTGTTAATTGTTGAATTCGATTGTTTGACGAAGCTGTTGATTGAATCCAACTGTTCTGGAAAAAAAAAATGGATTGGACCCGTGGACCAATCCCGATTCGGCCCATTTTAAATGGGTTGAGTTAGGTCCGGTTTCAAAACTCAAATTTCCTATAACCGACCCCGCCTGTCCCGTTGCATTTTTTAACGAATCCAGTCCATCCTTCAAATTTGGGCTCGGCCCGGCCTGTGCCCACCCCTAGGTGGTAACCGTGGTCAGAAAAGAAAACAAACTGAAGAAGGAGGCAGGAGTTCTCAAACCAAGGTGCTTAAGGATCCTATTCAAGTTAAAAGAAAAGGGGCGTAAAAAGTAAGTACGAAAGACAAACGAAGTCAAAATCGGAGACGCAGTAGTAGAATTGTTGGTATTATAAAATTGTTTCGTAGTTGGTCCACCTAGCATTCTAACCCAGCAGACCTTGACAACCTTTTTTGGTATTTTTTGTTATATTCGGGTATTATAGAAATATTTCAGCATGTACATACATTTTCATATATATTATAAACAAATAATTTTTTTTTGTTTTTAATTATTGTTTATTTTAATTAAAATAATTACAAAAAAAAATTAAAATGAGTAATTTAATAAAATCATAAATAAAGGAAAACAAATTAAAAAAAAAAAAAACCTTTGTTCGACGAAAGACCTTCGTTGCATATGATTAAAAAGGAAGCTTTCATCCCGCAGGGCCTTGGACAACGAAAATTTCATAATTCAAAAATATTAAAATACTTGAAATCCAAATTTTATTGGACAAATTTCGTAGCATCCTTGTTTACTCAATGAAAAAATTTGTCACACTGAGTCTTACCTAACGACTAGTTGTCGCTGTAAACTCAATCTGACAACAAGCTGTCGTACCCTTTAGTTTGGTGCTACGGTACGCTTCGTTCCCCTATCTTTGAGGTGACAAACGCATTATTTGTCAAGGAAAGAGCCTTGCGCGACTGCGTCTGCGAGACAAAGTTTTCGTTGAGCCAATGTTTATGCTACGAAAATTGACTTTATGTGATGAACTTTTGTTCGTAGCGAAAATTGTTTACTGTAATAGTGTTATGCTGTGGTTAATAGTTTTGTAATTATTACCTGCCTTTTTTTACATTGTGAAAAGACTTATCTTCACATGAAATTCTAACTTTGTCACTAAATGCACATCATATAGTGTAACACCTGGCAACATTTTTTTGGTTTTCTTGTGGATTTTTTCCTTGGATGTTGTCTAAGCAACGACAACAATTCATAACTATCATACATGAATGGTTCACGAGATCAAACTAACATAACTGATTTCAACACCGTATAGTGTAACACCTGGCAACAATTTTTTGGTTTTCTTGTGGATTTTTTCCTTGGATGCTGTCTAAGCAACGAAAACAATTCATAACTATCATACATGAATGATTCACGAGATCAAACTAACATAGCTGATTTCAACACATAAACTCTAGTTTCCATATGGTTGATGTAGGCTCTCTCGCTCTCGCTCACACACACACACACACACATTTCCAAGAATTAATTAAAAAACAGAAAGAAAAAGATATAGGGAGGGAGCAAACAAAATTGGTCACGGGCATTGAGTTAAGTTAGACCAAACGAAAGGGCTCTACGGTACTGGCAATGCTTTCCTGTGAGGACAAACAGAGAAGTGGGTGAGAGGTGAGTGCTTGCATGGTTGTAATATATAATAGTTTTATGTTCTTGCATGTTTCACTCTCTAACGATTCAGTTGATTTCATCAGTTGTATATATGTTGGCCATTAGAAACCGGCCTAACAGTAGCAGGGACATGTGAGGGCACATGTGTGAGGTGGCATCCTATATACCCTATCGCTTTCACAATGCCATCATTCACATGCATGATAAGAATCACTAAACTTGAGGAAAGCAAAATATATCGATCCATGATATATATCCAAGATCCAATCAGAATAAATGTAGTTATTTTTTTCCTTCAAAAACTTGATATCTTGAAGCGTTTTTCACTAATATTAACATTTGTCATACAGTTCTAATTAATTAAATAAACTTTTGTTCTAGTTTTTAGGTAACTTATATGGAAAAGAAAACTTGCAATCTGTTGCTTACATGTGGTTCTCAACTTTCATCACATGTCTCGTGGATTCAAAGACAATTTTTTTTTATTTTTTATTTTTTTGGTCTCTTCTCATTTCTTGGACTCATATAGTGTTTGCTAGTTCTCACAATAATTCTCAACTACAAAACTTGAACATGCAATTACCTCGTCTTTGTTCGGGTAATAACTAAAGCGTTTTTCATATTTACCAAAAGAAGGCCTTTTTATATGTAAAGTAATTAATAAACTGTAAGTGGTGAGTTGGTCGTTTCTGTCAGTACGTGGTCTAGACTTTCTGCGTCTTACATGTTGAAAACAACAAAGTTGCATAAAAATAATGTTGATCCCTAGAACTTACTTGCATGCATGGCAATATATATGACACACACACATCCCTTTCTATGCAAAAGGCATACATAGAATTCTCTCTTGTATATAAATAGCCCTATATATATATGACTAACTCCACCCACAGGGCCACAGTTCAGGAAAACATATAATTCTCACTCTTCTCTATCTCTCTAGCTAGTTGCTTCTTGAGTTCAAGAATTTTATTTTTCTGGTACAGCCGGCAATGGCAAGGGCTTTAAATTTTGTGATGTTCTTCCTTGTTATACTGTTCTTTGCCCTAACAGTAGAGAACCATGTAAGCCATCTTTCATCTCTCTCCCTCTAGAGATAAATATGCATCATTGTATATACACACACATATATATACACCTGGTCATGCAAGTGTGGGGTTGTTGTCGGCCCACTGCATTTCAAATTTGAACTCACTTAATATAGTTTAGAGTAGGAATATCGCTTGCATTAAAAAAAAATTATAAATTTGTATAACATGCCTGCTTTCTACTAGCAAGATCTGCAAGTTGTAGTCAGATGAAAATTCTTTCCATGTTGACCATCTTAACCTGCCGTTAGCTCCTTGGCTTGAATTCTAACAGTATACTTGAAACAGAGATAATTTCATTGCAGTAGGATTGTAAAAACAAAGCAGAATGTTTTATTCAGAAAAAAAGAAGGCATGTACATTATTATATGCCGAGACACTCGCAAAGAAATTGGGTGTTAAATTTAAATTGAAAAAAAAAAAAACTAAAATTATTGAGTGCATGCATGTAGATTATTCCTTTGCTTGAATTCTAACAGTATACTTGAAAATGAAGCAGGCTAATGCCACTGGCACTGAAGCTCCAGCACCGCAGCCCCAAAGCAGTAACAACCATACCATGGTGAAATTTATTTATTTTCAGACTGCAACTTTTTTAAATTATCTGATTTTTCTGCCTCAGTTTTAGATACATTTTTTTTACAGTATTAGATTGTTAATTAAATGAAATCTCAAGTTTATAATTATCTCTTGCTCTTATGCAATTCAGAATGGAATCACTGAAGGCAGCCTTCAACCTCAAGGTAGGGATGCTAATTAAGCATGTATACATTACAATCGTATTAGCAATATTTAAAATATTAAGGAAACTTTACCTAGAGAGACAAAAACACAAATTACATTTTATACAATTTTACTAGTTTTGAATCAGTTTAAGTAGAGATAAAAGCCCAAACCCCAACAAATCTAGCTAAAAAACAAGCAAACCAAAATTTTAAAATCCCAGCTATGCCCCTAATAGACTTGTCCAAAACTACACCATTAATAAAAAACTCCAAATTGATTTTAGATCTGTAAAAACTAATTTATGCAAGATTAGTTTCACAATTCATGCACTTTTGCTAGATCGGTTTCAAAATTTTCTACACTTCCGCAAGATTCATTTCAAATTTTTTGCACTTCTACAAGATTAATTGCAAAATTACTGCACTTATGCAAGATCAGTTTTGATATTCTTACACTTTTGCAAGATCAGTTTCAAAATTCTACAATTCTGAAAGATTAGTTTCAAACTTTTAGCATTTTTGTAAGATCAATTTCAAAATATAGGCATCCAAATTCCAAATCATGAAAATCTCAAAATCAAATACTTTCAGAAAATACTACAATAAAAAAGCCAAAATTAAAAATCCCAATGGTTTTCATATAAGGAAAAAAACACTCATAAATCTAGGCAACAATTTGAAGAAGGGAACAAGGTAAAGACAATTTACAATTAAAATAAAAAGGGTATATGACATTACTTGCCACGTGGGTAGATTTTGTCCCCCTATGCAATAAATAAAAAACTTTATCTCTTTCTAAACTATAGTTTTATAATGTAACTTTACGTGTAATTTCCTAAAAATTAAATGCTTCTTAACCAAAAAAAAAAAAAGGGAAAATGAAAAAAAAAGGTAGATAAATTTTTTTATTATTTTTATTGAAACTGATTAAGTGAAACATTGTAGAGTGCGGTCCTCGTTGCACCACAAGATGCTCAAACACACAGTACAAGAAACCATGTTTGTTTTTCTGCCAAAAGTGCTGTGCCAAGTGCTTGTGCGTCCCTCCAGGCACATATGGGAACAAGCAATTCTGCCCTTGCTACAACAACTGGAAGACCAAGAGAGGAGGCCCCAAATGTCCTTGAACCAGCCATTCCACACAAAAAATGTCATTCTGTACTCCTTAGTGAAATAAATAACAAAGGACGAAGTTCATGTTGATTTTTTTAGTGTTAATGACAATTATCTTTCAAATTATAATTGCTTATGTCAGCGTTTTAAACTGTGTACTTAAATTTGATTAGACTTAAAATTCTGCATGTTACATCAAATTTGTTGTTTACAGATGTTTATGGAAAATATTCAACTGCTTATTAAATTAAGGTAGTAAAAAGTCCCCCTCTTTCCGTATTTTTGGATGGTAATTTTCCTCCAAACATGGAGAATTGGAGATTCAAAGTTCTATTGCTTATAGCTTCCTTGTTTTTAAATAAAGTGAATTCGAAATTGTCTTTCATTCCAAGTCGTAGCTTGTAATTGTGTACAAACTAAAGAATATTACAAAGAGGATCCTTTGTGGATTCCTCAATCATACAAATCGTAATGTATGTTAGTTATGATGTTAACAGGAAATTGCTAAACCAAATACAAGACTGATCGAAGATGTCCGATATTAGCAAATCCTTCTGCAATCATATTAGCTTCTCAATGTATGTAACATATATATGGTATCGTTAGGAAATTAGATCATTAAGTACCATATATCGTTAATGAGTGAGGAAAGTCGCCAATTTAGAGCTTGCTTTTAACGCCATAGCGTCTACCTGCAAAACAGTAGAATAACCTATTGGACTAGAAATATAAATTGGTTTTGAAAAGCCAGAAGCTGCTTCTCCATTGCTTAACAAAAACTATCGAAATTGGTTTTGACATTTATATAGAACTATAAATTATAGAGTTATGATGACACAAAGATATATAGGATGAACAATCTTATTACAACCATAAATTCACCATATACTTCCATCACATACGGCTTTCATGGACAGCTGCACTGGGGTTTAAGGAAGCAAATGAAAGAAGCATCTCATCCCTTTGAAAGATAGCCATCTCTTGTTCTGCCAGTGTTACCCACGCTTCAATATTTTCACCAAGTTTACTATCAATCAAAACTATAAAGTTTTTAAAGCCCATAGAAGTAGCAACCCAAGTGGGTTTCCCCCACCCAAAATCCATATCATATATTGGAAATTTGCACAAACTTGTACAACGAAAAATATTAACTCCCCTTGAGATGAATTCAACCTCCTTTGTATGATATTCGGAAACCACGGCAAAACCATCTTCGCCTTTAAACCTATTAGCCTTGTCGTTGCAAAAGTCCGTTAAGCCTTTCCTCAACTTGACAACAACCTCATGTAATTTTATATCACTTTCTTCAATAAGCACTGGAAACGCCCAAACGAGATTACCTACAGTATTGACCGGCAGTGGAGAGACCATTCTTTTGCGCAAGTTCATGGCGTGGAACAACACCGATGGCCTTGATGACGATGTTGATATGGACTGTGCAGCAGCAATAGCACATTTGACCACAACTGCAGATACTAGTTCCACATTTGTAGGGTTGTTAGTAGTAATAGCTGCTTTTGCCTTGAGACTGGCCATCTTTGAGGTGCTGAACACAAAACGCCTAGTGGTGAAATTTTGATGTGGGTCTGGGATGTCCAAGGTGCGTGTGATCAACATCTCTGAAGGCGGCAGCAACGACGATCCAATAAACAAAGGAAGCACTTGACCTAATCTCTGGTCATGACCAATGAATTCTGATTGATCAAGAGCAGTACTGGCTGCCGTCCAACTTTGGACAAAAGTGCACAAGGATGAAGCGTCCGCGATCTTGTGTAAAAGAGAGACTGCAATAGCAATTCCTCCACAGTTAAAGACAGTGAGTTGAACAAGCAGAACAATAACGTCTTCCTTTTCAGCACTGGAGGTGGGAATAAAGTGCTGGAATAAGGTGGAATCAGGTTGGGAGAGAAAATTCAAGAGGTGGCAATCCATTCGAGCTTCTACAAAATAAACCCCTTGGTCATTGCACTCAATGGTAGCAGCGTCTTTGAGCCGCCCGGCAAGTGGATAGAAATGAACCAAGGTTTTGGACAACGACTTCTGAAGGTGGCTTGACATTTTCAATGCATGGGGATTGAAGTCGCCATAAGTATGATCATAGTTGCTGGTAGACGAGTAGAAGAAGATCATATTGCCATACAAATTAGGACTATGTCTTTGGTCCAAAAGAGAGAGCTTGAAGTTTTTGTGATGATGAGGAGTTGGGGAGGATGGCCTAATTGTTTTTCTTGAAATGATCTCGACCTTCATTTCTTTCACCATCGCTCGATCATTTGCTGCTTTTTCCAGTTCATCGATTTATATATATTGGCGATTGTACATGAAATGTAGAGTAATTAGCTCCATCTTAAATTTTTTTTTGAAATGAGACTAAACCTAATCTTTCCTTTTGCACTTGACTTGATTAGAATAGTGTGCTCATTTGAATTCTAATTTTCTTTTTCATAAATCGAATTAGATTAGAACATCGATAAATAAAAACTATCAATTTTTCTGACTATAAAATATATTAACCTAATTATGAATTCAATATGAAGCATCCCACACAAAACAATTGTTATTTTATTTTTATGGTCAAGCATAATTTATATATAGGGCCACTATGGAATAAATTTATATATGCAAGTAATCTAGTTGTTACAATTTGTTTAAGAAATGAGATATAATCTCATAATTTAAGCATCCAATGTAGTACTAAGTACTGACCAGTTAATATAGAAATGATATCTAATTAATGAAGACTTGAGTTCACATTGTTGATGTCTATACACACAAGTAGCCTACTTGTTACATTTTTTAATGGGATAAGATGGATGATGTATTTCATATGAGCCATTAGATTAATTTTATGATATATTAAGTTATCAACTTGAATAATCCTATTACATTGAAACACAATAATTTGTGAAGTAGTTAAATTTAAAAAAAATTATCATGTGAAACTTTCCATCTTCTTCTCCTATCTTCTCTCTCCTCCACATCCCCTTCTTTTATCCATCTCTCTCTCGATTGTTCACTCTCCTTCTCTCCTCTTGAGCTTTTTGTTTTTTCCTTTTCTCGCATGAAAAAGGGAGATGTATATATTTCAAAATTTTCACTGTCTTTAGAAAATTTCATATGAAAAAGCGTTCACTCATTCAAGAAAAAGATATCCGAATTTTCGAAGCCACACAATCTCAATTTTGGGGTGCTTTTAACTAAATGGGTTTGAATATTATTGATAAAAGAATGAATGAAATTGGATGTAAAGTTATTAAATTAGAGGGTTTAGATATTTGATTAGGTGACCAGGTTTTGTAGATGGAAGGGATTCGATATATGATGTGAAACATTCTTTTTTCTTCTTATTTTTTTTAGTTTTTTAGTTTTTATCAATTAATATTTTATTTCTGTGTAACAAAAAATATTTAAGTTGATAGCTTAATATACCGTGAGATTAATCGAAGAACTCATATAAAAAAGGGAAATTGGCACAAATTGGCCATTTTGTTGTTCTTGGGACCAAAATAGGACAAACCTGCCATGTACACTCCATGCTCACCGTGCATAATAGTGAAATGACGAAAATACGCACATAAAAATTGTAAAAACTCACAGATGATGGAGTCATTTGTTTGATTTCGAAGAAAAGGATGTCGAGAGAGAGAGTTGTGAACTCTGAGTTTTTGGGTTGAGCAAATTATTGAGCTCTAATTTTGAAGAGAGGGAAGTCGAGATAGAGCATAAAAGAGTGAGCTCGTGCGTTTTGGGTTTAGCTTAGAACTCTGAGCCCTGATTTCGTACACATCGTTGTCGAGAGTGAGGTGAGAATAGTGAGGTCGGGGTTGGTTAAGCTTAGATTTGTGAGCTATGTGTGTTATTCTTCCATAACCAAACACAACAAAGTCTTCCATCCTTAAAGATAACACGTTTGTACTATATTTTCCATTTTGACTGTTATTTTAGCTTCGACAAACATATTTCGGCACCCCAAGCATTGGCTCGATTTTGGAGGCTAGTAAGGTAGGGTGTTCAATTCCAAGTCCTATATCAATGATTTATGGGATATGTGGGTTGTTTGTAAGATGAACTAATACTTAGAAGGTCAATTAGGGTCTATGTTTCATGTTGGGGCTAGGGTTGTGGAAAAAACTTTATTTTTGACATGCTAGAATACTGGGTATGTTCTAATTTCTGTTTCAAGTATTCAATTGCACAAATTTAGGATATTCATAAAATTTGGGAATTTTGGGAAAAATTTCCTGGTGTGCGTGGCTGTAACTTAATATGACAAGCAGGAATGTTCACTAGTTTTGATGCATGTATGTTATATGTAATTTCAAGTTTGTGCAACATAACATGGGGGAAGTACCTGTAATGGTTTGTTACAGTGGGAGGCGGGTAACATGCGATAATGAAAAGGAGTGCATAGGCGGTGAAGAGAAAGGAGTTGCCGAAAGCTTGGTTATAATGAGCAAACTTGCAGGGAACTTGTTACAATCCCCGAGACCACATGATTCTTCCGATGTCATGCTAATATTTAATTTGTTATGTGACTATTGTAGATTATATTATAATTGTGTATGTGATTGTTGTGGATTATGTATGCCATCGTTGTGGATTATGTTCTAATTTTATATGTGACCATATGATTCTTCTGATGTCATGGTAATTCTTCACATATATTTAACCATTAGTCTAAACTTATATATGTGATTGTTGTGGATTATGTTGCAATTGTATCTAGTATATGAATAACATGCTATTAATGTATCTTATAAATGTCAGAAGCAGCTCCCTGCCCAATCTCCAGTTTTGTGCAGATCATGAATATAGTGTACATATGAGTGCATGTGGTGTGCATAAGTAACAGCGGAAGCTGGAGAAGAAGTTGTTAGCTTTGATGCCATTTTCTTAGATCACGCACTACTTGTGTTTTGTGGTGATGTTTTTCATATTTGATACTTGCTTTTGGTAGTGATGTTTTCGGAACAATGAAGGTATGTAATATATAACTAACAATTGGCCATTATTCTAGAATTACTAACCTTATAATTCATGTATTTGTACATGGATTTGTAATCAATAGCATATAACTAACAATTGGCCATTATTTCTAGAATTAGTGACCTTATAATTCATGTATTTGGACTATGGATTTGTAATTAATAGCATAAACCCATCTTTAAAATTTATTTGTTATTAATTCATGCATTGGGTTTACATGGACTTGTAATCGATAACAAAAACCTATTTTTAAATGTATTTGTTATTATCCATGAATTTGTATTTACTATCTACTTCATTTGAAGGCAGTGTTAACGCCTTATTGGGTCCATACAAATCTTCCGCTTCTTATTGAAGTATAAACCATCTATTTAAGTTTTCTTGTAGAAATTATGTTTTAATCCAAAACCAGAGTGTGAAGAAAGCTAGAACCACCTCATCGTCCGTATAATCTCTTTTGGACGAGCTTCTTGTCCAAATACTCACGAAGGTTGCTTCATGCTCTTTTAATGACTTGTTTTCAGCAAAGATAAGTTGCAAAAAGTTCAACCAAATCCCCCAAGACGATTGCATATTCGAACACATAGACATTAGCAAATTTGAAAGCTTCAATCTGCTTAATTCATGGAACAGATATGAAAATGTTTCCATGTTCCTGAAACGATGCAGGGATTTCGGCAATTTTTAGGTCCAGTACAGGCTAGGGATGCGATACTACTTCCAAGACAATATAATAGAACCTGAAATTGAGTCTTTAAAGATGGCAATCTCAAAGGGTCATGAAGTAGCAATGTACGTGTATGGCGTGATCTTGGTGTGCTACGGTGGGGATTCGAAGTAGGAAGGCCTCAAGCTTTTTTATTCTCTCAACCATCACAAATTGGGATGGTTGAGCGTAATGGAATGTAGAGAGATGGTTCAACGGTGTTTTTCGACATTTTGGGTGGATAGGGAGGTAAGAGCTAGAATTATAAAAGTTCACAATGAAAATGCTACCCTAAAAGCATGCAACGAATGTGGAAGTCCACATGGTCCTTTCACGTTTTGATCACATTGGGATTTCTTTGACTGTGACAAATTCAGTAGCTGTAATTCGTGCAAATGGCATCATGAAGTAAGTATGTTTTGTGATATATTATATGGTAAAGATAGGTTGAGTAAATTTGTTTATTTTCCTTTACTTTTCTTGTAATAATGTCGTTTGAATTCCAACACAGCCTTTTGAAATTGACCAATTTTTGCATATTGCTCTTTGATTGTCATTGTTTCGGTAAGGTTGATTCCTGATTTCGGTAAGGTTGTTTACACTTTAAGCGAATCCTTGATCTTCATGGGCAATCTAAGGTCTCATCATTACCAACAATGAATGGTAGTCATAGACGGTACCCAAGGTCTTATCATTACCATGTAAGAGCATGCAAATCAAATTATTAAGAGCTCATCCCAAAATATTTTGGGAACCCAAACGATAGAGGCAAATGATATAGTAAATTTTACAAAACCTTATATCTACTTTGTCTTATCACTAAGATTATGAAGCCAACCAATTCATTTAGCAACAAACCATAGAAGCCAAAAATTGCTAAGCAAGTAGTAGTTTTTAGTTTGGGATTTACACTAAGATGCGGTTGGTGCTTTTTCCAAGATAAAAAACCTTTAAAATTTGGGGTAAGCCTTGTCCCTTTTGGTAGCAAGTGCTCAAGAGAATTCCTAGACCCACAACACTTGGTCCCACTTGTCATTTTTGCCGCAATTTTCCCCTTCCTTGTATAAGCCAAGAGAACAAGTTTTGGCGCCACTTTATGGCCCACTTTGCTAGGCACTCATGCATTAGTTCACCATCTTTCAGTTATGCTTAAAATAACATAACAAAATATCAAAAGTTTACTTACTCCAATTTAAAAGCTCTGTATTAAGATAATTAATTAGGAATTTATGGATAAATTTTACATTTCATGAGACATGTGCATGACGTCCATATCATGTGCTTGCAGAGGGCATGAACAAAAGATGTACATGGGTCTGCTAGGGTTAGGTGGGGCGGTTGGGTTGTCAAGATTTTTTAGCCTCGTTCTCCATGCTTTACTATTCAAGCTAGGTTTTAATCATTATTACTCCTCCTTACCAACCTAGCTATCCTAAACTCAATTCTCGGTCTTTGTGGGCAATCATGACTGATGCTATGGTTGGCTTCCTTTTGGATTTTTTTATAATTATTTCGTTTCGTTTTTGTGCATGTATGATTGTTGGCTTCCCCCTAAGCAGGTGTATTTGTT